GAGTCTCTATGTTTATGGTGGAGTACTGACTTAAATTGAGTTGACAGTAGTATTAGATCGATTTACGAGTCATAAATTTTTATTCTTAGTATTTTCCCAGACACAGATTACAAAGGTGAATTTAAGGTAGTTTGATTAGTTGCTGATCATTCAGTTGTTGGATACTTCTTTGTAATCAAACTGTTTCACGAATTGATTTCAACTGATAGATGACATAGCAGTGAATGAACACTCAGGCGGGGAAGACCAATATCTTCACAGAATATAAAAACCATACATTAAATACTTCATTTGCACATTTTCTATCAATTATCTCTTAAAAACTTCATCGTTCTTTCATTTCTATTGTTATTACGATTACTCTCTGTTTACATTCCTTTTCTTTTCAACTTGATCTTCTTAACCTTCGGCTACCGGGCACTCCACTTCTGATTAATTTTACATACTACTTATTCCTGTCAATATATGTAGCATTCACCATAGTATGATCAAACTATAAGTTAGTGAAAACTTTTCAAACTATACCATAGCGTGTGAGATATTTGATTTTAACTTCAGATGTTCACTGTCTAGTCGGTTAACATAAACAGTTTGTTGTTTACTCGTTTGTATAGATTTACAATCAATACTTTTAGTAACCAATCAATTATTTGAAGTCAATAATAATAATAATTTTATTGATTAAAATTCAGTAAGAGAGAACAGTGAAGTTTCATTTGAAAGTTCATTAATTGACGATTCGTAAGAAAGACCCAAGGTTATTTTATCATTGTTCATTGGTGAGATTTCTTAAGAAAAATAAGACAAGTATCACAACTTTTGGTACGCAATAATCACTGATATATATATATTCGGTCTGTACTGCTAAAACGGGATTATGCAGACTATTTACAATCTAGTGACTAATACAAGAGATTATGAAATCGATTTAGAACGACGAAAGTATGGCAATCATTGCTGTTCTATTTAGTATGAAAGATAGTCATTGTATGAATATCGATGTTTAATTCTACGCAATACAAAATGATTAGTCTAACACTTACGTAACTATAATTTTGTAGAATTCAAATAATGTGGATTGATGACGGGATATACACAAACAATTTTGATAGTTAACTCTACTGACGACTCTTAAACTAGACTAAATAACACAGTACTAGGATTTCGTCAAACGTTGAAACAATCAATGTCTTTGGTTTCACCAACTGGAATATTTTGGCATTTGGAATTACGTTACTTGACTGACTTGTCAGTGTATTTAAAATTTTAAGTATAGACATGTGAAGATTATTGAGTTTCATTGAAATTGTGAACTGATCAGTATTGGACCACCGTTGAAAACCAGGAACTCATGTATGGCCGTTTCATCCTGGTGTAGGATTTACTAGCAGTGCGAAATCATGATTCCACACGCGAGAATCGAACCTAGAACCAGGAACTTCGGTCTCGCGCGTAAGCACTGAACCTCTAGATCACTGAGCCGGGACCTAGAGGTGATCATGTTTAACTTCAATCAATCCACAATATTACGCGATGATCTCCCACTGTATTTGGTGGAAGATTTGTGAATACATATAGATAAATTTGGGTATTTTTATTATTCTGCAGAACCCACTATATGGTGATATACATTATTACACGTATTCTGGTGATTTATGGTCAGAATCTAATTATGTACTAGGACGTTTTATATCAGAATTCGGCATACAATCTATTCCGTCTCCATTAGCTTGGGCCAGATCAATTTCAAATATATCGAATCCAAAACAATGGGATGTATTCGGTTCACTGATGGACCATAGACAACATCATCAATTAGGTCATCAAATGCTCAGATTAGCGCTTGAGTATATTACGGAACCAGCAAATAGACAAGATCCGATTCGTAATTACAGTCGGTAAGATGAATATTGAATTGATTTGTGTTTCACAGTTTGTTCAAAAGTGTATGTATAACTATATGAATCCTGTATAGTAAGGATTATCGAGTCAATTAGTATAAAGATTAACGAGCAATAAGCCCTAAAGAGAACAACTTAACTTTAGTCAACTAAATATGTTAGTTGCTGAGTTAATCCAATTTGTTGACCTAATTTATGCTAGAATGGGGTAATCTGTTATTTTTTTTATGTCCCTTCAAAATAGAACATATTATTACTGATTACAGTTACTTTTGCTATTTTGTAGTATATATATATATATATATAGGTTAAAAGGGCTAACTGAAAATATCTTCATTTATATCTTTGAATGAAAAAAGGCTATAGGTTGGTTAAATATTAGTATTAAATGAAGCTAAGTCAATACTAATTGATAATAATATGTAATTAAGAATTTATTATATTCTGTTTTTACAGTTCTACGCAGTACACATTTTTGATCATTTCTAAAGATCAAATCTACGATTCAGAAATCAATCTAAGTTGTTATGAATCAAGGTTATCATATTAGATTTTTCAGTGTGAAACAAGAGTTTTGTCAGATTAATATTAAAATGATCTATGTTGAGAATAAGTAATAATTAAATATTTTGATTATGTACAGTTGTTTAGATAATAATCACTTAAGTATTTAATTGAGATCATTAAACGATTAATGTTAGACTATCATTTAAAACCTGGAAGCACTGGACGACCGTTTCGTCCTAGTAAGGGACTCCTCAGCAGTGCGTGATCCCGCTTGCGAGATTCGAACCCAGGCCCTTCGGCTTCGCGCGCGAATGCTTAACCTACTGGACCACTGAGCCGGCATCTAATGGTGTTAATGTCTAAACTCAACCAATCCACGAAATTGCGCGACCATCTTCGATTGTACTGAGGTGATTACTTGTCTCTACCCGACACGGATTAGCTCCACTGGTCACTAGAACTACGAGAATGCCCTCACGAATCTAGTCACTAGTGATAATTATCAGTATAGAAGTTGTGGAGATTATTAAGTTTTTGATTATTTATTTATTTTAACACATAGATATTGGTACAAGGAGGTACCGAATAGATATGCGCCACACAAACCTCATTTGATATGTGTGAGGGCTGTGATACTGCCAGGGTGCCCAAACCGAAGCGGATGGTATTCTTAGGGGGCCACACTTGCAGTCTTCAACCCAAAGGTTTGATCCACAAGGCAGTGGAGCATCGTAAGGAGATGCAGTCCCATGGTAGCCGGTGACCAACAATTGGTTCATACACCATTTGTTCCTTCAGGATACTGGAGCCCATGTGCACCATTGGTTTGGAATGAGGGTTTTCCAACTCCTTTAGGTGGACTCACCGTTTCCACCGGCCTAGTTAAATCGCCGGACATTCGCTTTTCGTCCTCTCAATTTCGTAAACAACAGTAATGCTGCGAGAAGGCAGTGAGTAGGACTTCCTTGACAAAAGCAATGTACATGTGGCCATGTGAGAGCATTCCGAGAGGGAGAGTGGACTCTTCCCACTCTCAGCCGTACCAAGGCATTTGTGGACAAGTTTTTAATTGAGATCTCTTAAGTAAATATACCGTTAATAGTTAAAATTAGCATATAATTAATAATGAAATGATTATTATTATTATTTATTTTAGATGGGCATATGTAAGTCAATTAAATCAACTCATGTGTTTACGTACTCAAATCAATTTATACATGAGGCATAAATGTCGATTAAAATTAACAAATTTTACAATTATATCAACTAATAAATTTATTACAATGGGTACAATATATTGGCAATTAAATGATATTTGGTCAACACCTAGTTGGTCAACTATAGATTCAGTTGGTCAATGGAAATTATCACATTATAATGCTATAAAAGAATATTATGATCTAACAAAATGGGGACGTATAGCTATACATCATAATAATGAAATAATTGAAGCTGATTGGATACCAAATACAAATAATAATAATAACAATGATTTATTTCCTATTGAATTTGAATTAATTTGTTATACAATTTGGTCATTTATACCAACATATCGTGAAATTTTAAATATTTCTATAAAACATTTTATTCAATGTCCAATAAATATATTAAATAAATCTTTAAATGATTTAAATAATTTATGTCATTTTAATTATAGAAATGGTAGAATAATTCAAATTATTATAAGAAATAATTTACATTCTATAATATCTGATAGAAATGTATTATTATTAGATAAACCAATACAAATTAAAATATGGCCTAAAAATGCTGGAAAAACTTTACAAATTAAATCAATCAAATTATTGAATATAATGAATAATTTATTAAAAATTCAAAAAATGGCACCATTTTTAACTAATTATATTTATGAAATTATAATTGAATCCAAATCACCAGAATTATTTATTAATTTGAATATAGATCCAAGACTTGATATAGAATTTTGGTTTTCAATAAATGGTTTTCATTTAATAAATGAAAATGAAAAAATAATACATTTATGTATATCAGGAAATAAAACAATTTCAATAGATGTATTAAAACAATATTTATGGATTGAATCACTTGCAACATTGAATATGAAAGAATTGTGACAAAAAATCTCTTTTGATAATTTACTTTTTATTATATTCTGGTTTAAAAATTATTTTTTCTTAAATGTTTTTAATTCAGCAATAAATTATATATGTCGTATGCTTTTATATATATTTTTGTAGTGGCTACTTACAAGTAGTTTGTTGATTAAAAGTAAAATGTTTTACTAGCATAGGGGTTGTGGAGATTATTAAGTTTTTGATTGAGATCATGAACCGATTGATGTTAGACCACCGTTGGAAACCTGGAAGCACTGGACGACCATTTCGTCCTATTGTCGGGTAGAGACAAGTATCTATCTCAGTACAATGGAAGTTGGTAGCGCAATTTCGTGGATTGGTTGATGTTAGACACTATTACCATTGGATGCCGGCTCAGTGGTTCAGTAGGTTAAGCGTTCGCGCACGAGACCGAAGGCCCTGGGTTTGGGTCCCGCGAGCGGGATCGTGGATGCGCACCGCTGAGGAGCTCACAATAGGAAGAAACGGTCGTCTAGTGCTTCCAAGTTTCCAAATGTGGTCTAACATCAATCGGTTCATGATCTTAGTCATAAAATGTTTTACTGAAAAATTGTTATAAAACGGAGTAGACATAATCAGACAAACAGTCATAATAGATTCTAAAAGACAATTGTCTTTTGGTATTTATAATAATCATTCTTAAGATAATGACAGATCTGACAAGATAGATTTTTTAAAAGAGTAATTCACTTGAACAGTTAACTGATGAAAACTAGAGAACACCAAAATGGTTGTTTTGTACTAAATAGGGAGGCCAAAGTAAGAACCTGTTTAACATATGAAACACAGAGGAATAAAGTTTCATGAATAGTACACAATCACTCAAAGTCTGAGTTGAGACCCAATAAATCACTTATTATATAATACAATAATCTTGTTAAGAGATTTGAAATATATGCGTGTTTTATTTAGGGATGAAGAAACAATCGTAGTGATCTTTACGAAGCGATTCACCTTTCTAAACTGGTTAATATCTACGGAATGGCTTTTAATTAAAATATCGAGACATATGCTACATTTTTTCCATAAAAATATGGAGATTTTAGGAACAAACGAGTTTTGATAAAGTTGGACTAAAATATCGAATGACTTTGTCGCTACCATATGAATTAAATTTATTTACTCAATTTCGGTTATGAAGTAAATAAAGATCGTCTAGAAAAGAATGAAATATATGTTCCTACAAGTGGTTTTTTGTTTTAAATGTAATGTAAGAAACAACCATCTCAAGAAACAAGTTTTTTTAGTCGAATAGCCTACAACATCACGTCGTGGAGTGTATAATTGAAACATAGATGGAAGTAAATAAGTCTAATAAGCCCTAATGAAGATGAAACCCTAGTTTAACTTGTATGCAACAATTAGTGAATACGATATTTATGTACCCAAAAATAGTGTTGACAGATTTACACAAATCTCAATGAATCCACAATAAGAGGTGATGATGAGTTCCAGCAATTAAGGTTGTCAGTTCATATGACTATGATTTTCAATGACATATCGCAAAAAACCCCAGTAAAACATAAATATTATGAATCAAGAGGAGAGTTGACATAGACACATATTTAAAACGTGGTCAAACTAGTTATCAATTGTTCTAGAGTTTTCTTTGAATACGGTCATAATTTACTTATTATGGAACATCTATTATATATACTAGATTCACATTCAATATTTTATAATCATATAATAAGAGGAAGTAATATACAGTGTACTCATTGCCTGATAAAGTGTAATGGATAAAGAAAATAACTGATTATTTTGAATCGGGTGAATAAGACGCTGTTTAAATTCATAGAAGTCCACATTAGTAAAATTATTCCAATAAATTTAGTGAAATGTGTTACATGAACAGTATATTAAGAAGTGCGTAACACTTAAAAAAGAGACAATGAAAAATGTTGTTGGATGATGTCTTACTATTTAACAACGTCCCTAAATTAAAATCTGATTATATTCCCCCTACCATAATGATACGTTTAGAGTTGGGTTGGATCTTTCAACTGGTTGGCATAGGTCATCAAATGATTGATAATTTAAAATTGAATTGGATATAAATGTTAGAATACTTGTTTATTGCGAATTTCGTTTCCGATGTAATGATTAATACTATGTAGATAGTTGCATTACTAGTTAAGAGTAGGTGCTTATTTTACAAGATTATTTAAGCGTTCATGTTACTAATAATTTCAATTTACGTTGAAGATGTTGTGGTTGCATGGTACTCCCCCTTGTAAACATTCAGATAAGCGTATGGGCATAATACGAGCATGTGACGCAAAGGTTTAAAGTACAACAGTTTAGATAACTGTGGTAGAAAGAATTAAAAAAAAATCCAAATGAAAACACGTCACACCATTATTTAAACATTTTATGCAGAAAAATTAAGTACAACAGTAAGGAAATAATACGTACAATTGTAGTCATTACATCTACTGAGAAATACTTGTTCATAATTAATATAAAATAAAATTGTGAGAAATTTGAAAACAATAATCTTAAGTTATTTTAGATGTCATTACCCCTAAAAAATATTGGAAGATGTAACAGTATCAGTAATAATCCAGGAGAGGTAACAGAAATATTAATATACTGTCGATTGTACAATGAAAAGATATATTAATACAATTAGATGGAATAAAATAACACTATAAATTAGCAAAATGACCGTTGGAAATATACTGCTAAACTTTGAATCAGAAGAGAGATTTATGTAATAAAACAGAAAAGAAAAAAGAACCATAAACACCATAATGCTAGAGAATGCAAAATAACAATACTTTATTCATAGATATGACAAAAAAGAAAAAAAGAACATAGACGAAACGAACTTTTCAATTGCAGTCTTATGATGTCCATAGTGAATACAGGAAAAAAAAGCAAGTTAAGGATAGAAAAAGAACAAGACGAACAAATGTGAATATATCCTATATTTTTTGATATTCATTACAACATTTATGAACGGAGGAAATATTAGACGAATATTACGTTAAACGTTGTGTATATGTATACGAATATGGATAGTTTGCTTATCATAACCAATCTAATACCTTTACAGAATATGCTTTCTATGCAAAACCTAGTTCACCTGAGAGTTGTAATAAAATACAGTTTACAAAAACGACCCATGATTATTGTCACATTAGATAAAAATAAAAAAAAGGAATTCAATAGGAAAAAAATATAAGAATTCCGAACCGAGATTGAATTATGAAGGCGCACAAATTAACAAAACAAATCATTTTAATTCAATGCATATTTTGGAAAGCATAATCCTAAACGTGATTCAATACCACAAAATGTGGTTGTTGCATATTGATAACCGCCAATATGATCAGGATTAGTTGGAAATACTGAAGTATGACAATTAATTGGTTTACCAGAGAGTTCTCTACAAAAACAGATTAATTTTCGAATGATGAGTAAATTTTAGGTTTATGGTAAAAACATCAATAAGAAAAAATAATAATAGATTGAAGAACTAATTAAAAAATAATATATGGTTATTATATAATAAACAGAGATAAATCGTGCCAATCAAGATCTCGACCTTCTAACCTATTACCATATCTAACCAAATAACATTAAATTATTACGTAAGACATGTCGAGTCACTTATACTAAAGATTACAATGTAACTTGACCAATAAAATTCTAGCAGCAAAATACGTATTGGTTACTACTAAGACTCGTTGACATAAATACATCATAGAAATTATTAACAACACCGACTATTATAAAAATTTTTTGGAATATCAGTGACTTATGACCATAACCGTCATAGGGAGATCATAAAAAAATCTTCGATAATTCTCAGCGAGGTCAAAGTTCCTTAAACTAATATTTATGGATGTAACTTAATCAAAGAAGTATATTACACTACGTCACATGTGGGTTAAGTTATTAATTCTGAAATATACCACAAATGCGTAGAAAAGTTTACGATTAAGAGAAATCAAAGACGAGAGAAAAAATGGACAAGAAGTATATACAGAAAGAGAAAAAGCCGATGAAATATGAAAGGTACCTTCCACCAAAATCAAAGTTGAGATATCTTTGAAGTGTTTCATATGATAAAAGTGTCACTCCAAACTGTGGACTAGATCGAAATACGCGAGCACCAGATCCCTTCCAGAATGCCCGACCACCTTCTTCACGCCAAATTTTTCTAGCCGCATCAATTACTCCTGTATATGTTGTTTGACCTGTACGCGCTACAACCTAATAAAATATAGTGAATTATAGTTATGATGATAGAATTTAATCGTATATTACAACTTAAAAACATGATGATTTGTTAGTTTTTCTAAGATCTTCCTACCAGAATTTTATTTAAAACTTTTTTTCTGTACAACTGACATTTCATATTTAAACGGTGCCGAAATTAGACTAGATTGACAGACATCCATTTAAACAGTACCAAGAGTGGTATTGTTTATTATACTAATGTAAGAGCAACCGTTTAAATATAGGGTCTTTTTGGTGACTAGTCCAAAAGATTGATTACTAAGAGTGAAAGAAGGCATATAGACCTGCTAACCACCTAAAAATATTTCACACTTCGACCATGTAAAACGTATGCTACACTTATGGGTGCTAATCACCAAGTGATTACACGGGGTTTTGACAATATTTAAGTGATTGGATGGAAACGCAATACAATTTAACCTGGCCACAGTCGAACATTATCGCTTCACGTTAACAGATCTATACTATCCATGTGTACTCACTCCGAAGCTGTTTTCAAAAAGCAACTGATGATCACGCTCCTTTACATTTGTGCAGATCTTTCTTATGAATAGTTTCCCCGAAAAGACAAGAAACATATTTCTGAATAACGATTCGAAGGTAGATCTAATGTCTAATAATGCAGTAGTTATGTATTGAGGATCTGAACAACACTGACCATGCTCCACTTGGGTTTGATTCTGCACATGTTTCCCACAATCTGGTATAATAAGACGGTGCTGGTTTTTAATTTATCTTACGAGTGCTATTTTTAAGTTAAATAAAAGCAAATTCAGTTCAATTTACTTTTTAAAACAATTTAGCCAGTTTATTGATAAGAATGAGATCCCAGTTCTTGAAAAGAACTAAGAGTATAACGTTTTAGAGATTAAAAACTTTCACTTCATTAAGTTAAGTAATAAACATAGGTTCGGTTTATACCTTTTGATTTAATTTGTTGCTTGTCCGTTCCTTTTTTGTATGTTAAATTATACTTCTCATTAATATCATTTGAAGGACTAAATATTTAGAAGCAATAGGGACGAGGCTGTTAGTGCTTGAAATCAACTTGTTTTCTTTTATAGATAGTTTGTTAACTTTAATTTTGATGTACACTAACATGAAAATTGTCAGAGAAATCAAATGGTTACACGTGATTAGGTCAGAATGTCAATTTAACAATATCTCATTCAAATCAATACAGTGGATATGAATTGAATACATTTCACAATATAATTCATAATAACTGAATAATCAATGATTACATATAATAAGCAACTCAGTAGGTAACAAATGTGATCAAAAGGTAGGTGAAGTACATAATTAGTACCTGTAATCTTGTCTTGATTACATCTGCTGGTGTGGCTAAAAATGCTGCAGGAACTCCAGAAATTGTTGCAGCCAGTAATAAGCTTGTTGATGAATTACAACCATTTTCATTTGCAAAATACTTTTTCAAATGGCTATATGAAGTAAAATATATAGCTGAAAATGGGATATCACGTAAAAAACAAGCTCGTGATCCTTTGTAAAGCCCGAAAAGTCCTAAATCTTTGACAACCTGTTACAGTACAAAAAGAATAAAAAGCCCAGATAAGTTGAGAGTGGTCATCAAACTGTTTCTGGTAGTTTTTAAAATCTATAATTGTTCATAGTAATTATACAGATTCTGTATATACGTACTTCAACATTTTTAAAATCAGTCACTGTGTAAACTTCAATTAATAGTAAATTTAAATTAGCGGTAATCGAATTATTTTTGCTCACTTTTGAAAGGAAACAAATGTATTTTCAATAACAACTTTAAAACAATTAGTCCCTTTGATAAATTTTGATAATGCAATGAGAAGACGAAATTTATCAGAATTATGTGATATATTTGCGCAACACATTTCGAACAATCTGATCACGCATATACTTGTTAAGAGATTTTTATATGTGATCAAATTGTCCGAAATGTATTGCGCAAATATATCACATAATTCTGATAAACTTCGTCTTCTCATTGCATTATCGAAATAACAACTTTGTTTAAATATTAATAAATGATTGAAAATAAACATCCAATTAAACAACCTCACTGGGAACTACTTTTAAAAACCAGATGGTAGAAGTCAATGAACATCTATTATACAAAACATAGGAATGTTAATCAGAAAGGATTAATCTAGTCTTTAAATGCATACAAGTACATGTGATCCAGATACCCAACACGTTTATTATTAATGTTGGAAACAATCGGAAAATCAAATCATGCTTGTGCGCTGTTTATAGACATTAAAATAAATGAATTCATGTGTCTAGACTCTATAATTAATTTTATTCTGTCCTTTGAGTTTTCATTTTTTAACTTTAAAATACGAAAAAGACTCATCACATAGTGTCAATTAGTTGGTCGCAGACAATTTAGGGTTTATATGTTCGAGTACCTGTATAAATATTGTACCAGACAATTTATAAAGGTTTACTGAAATACATATCTTACTGAGAAGGATGATAGACGCCTTGTATCAGCGATTTCTCCAGCAACTTGAAGTCGTATTTTTACAATTTCCAAAGGATTAGTAAAAATTACTTGACTTGCTCCTGCACAACTTCCAGATAATATTTCAGCATATATTGAGATATCACCATTCGGTTTTGTAAATTGATCACGAACTAAATCATTGACGGTAAGTTTAATCGCTTTTTCTGGTGCAACACCTAATATCTGTGGTCCTAAACCTCGGTACAGACCGAAAAATCCTTCAAATCTAAAAAAATTACAGGATGAAAAAAAGATATACAAGATATTGAGGGAATAGTATCGATAAAAATAGTGAAGGTTACACTTTTCCAAGAACAAACTGAACTGTCTAGGGGACGGAAATCAAACTAATTAATTAGACATTTAGTAATTTGATCAACAAAACATAATATCACCAAAATTCTCATCTTGAGCTACAAATATTCTCCACTGTTAGTTATAATAATCACGAGGCTAAAAGTTTCTATGAAGTTAAACCATGATTTGCATCTTTTAACAGTAAAATTATGCAACTAATCGATCAGTGATCGCTACATTTGACGACATTAATTAGTTAATAAATAAGCATATGAACTTGTGTCATTCATACATCACATTACTCAAATAAAATAATCGATTACTAAGCAAAAATTTACGACTGATAACCAACCAGATAGATCGCCAAGCGAAGCTATCAGAAGACCAATGATCGATAATTTTGAAAGATTAATACGAATGAACTAAATTAATGAAATAATTCATAATTACAAAATAAACTAACTATTTACACATTAAAATGATAATCCCAATTTACTATAAGCTAAAGAATACTTGAAATTTTATTCTTATTATTAAAAATGAGTCGTTAAACTAAAAAATTTATTGGACACATAAAGAATGAGAGAAATGTAATCAAATTCAAGAAATTATTGACAGTTTTAAAAGTAAAAAAATATGTACATGCGACATTTAATTTTACGACTGATATCTTATAAACTGAACAATGAAAAAGAGTAAGAGAGAAACAATAACATTAAATCAAAATGTATTGAAAAAGAGATTAAAGAGCAGTCTACAGAAACAAACGAATTCCAATGGTTACAGGATAGACAGACATCTTCCTCCATTGCGAAACATTTGGTTGAGACTGGTCGTAAGGTTGATATCAAGTCAGCCTTTGAAGTGTTGTACAATACCCTTCAAGGGCGTATACTAAGGTTTATTGACGCATTGGCTATACAGAAACTGAAACTATCTTTATGTGAAGGGGTTTTGTGGAGATTTTAGTAATTTCAATATTTGAAATCATGAGTCAACTGAAGCTAGACCACCATGGAAAACCTGGAAGCACTTGACGGCCGTTTCGTCTTAGTATGAGACTCCTTAGCACTGCGCATTCACGATCCCGCGAGATGGGTTCGAAAACAATTTGTCCTTACCCTTAACCTACCCTGGTAATACTGATTTATTATCCAGAGTGGTAATCACACTGTTTTTATGTACTTTATAATAATAATTATTATTTTTTCTTTGTTATGGCTAACATTTAATATGTCTAGTTGACCTTTTAATTTTCATATAAAAATGTCTTAACAAGTATATGTGTGATCGGATTGTACAAATATATCACATAATTCTGATAATCGTCGTCTTTTCGTTGCGTTATCAAAATTTATCAAAAGGACAAATTGTTTTACATTTAAGAGTGGTTTAATATTTTTTTTAATCTATAGATGTTTGCCAGCTTGTAAAACTTACATTTACACCAGAATAATACTTTATTTACAAACATATGTACATCCTGTAAGAACAAGTGTAGTTACAAAAATTTTTTTCTATGAACAAAATGTATATCTTTCAGTAAATTTTAGTGTAATGGTTGCGTACTGCTGAGGAGTCCCATACTCGGACGAAACGGACATCCAGTGCTTCCAGGTTTTTCATAGTGGTCTAACTTCAATTTACTCATGAATACTATTATTAAATCAATTTACAAAAGTCACAGCAGATTAACAGGAAATGGAAAGTATTAATGTAGACATTTACACACTTTGAATTACTTTTGAAAAGGTTATGAAATTATATACACTAGTTACCTTGAAGTGAATATGTTTAGTGAGTTTTGATGTCAGTTAGTCAGCTACAACATAGGACCAGGCACATATATGCATCGGCCTAGGTTGCCACAAATTATTAGCATAACAAGCTGAATACCGAATTCATAGAAGTAGTTACTTCAATGGTAGTAATATATAACAGAAAGATTTCATATAAGGATATAATACATGAAGAAAGAATTAATCTCACGGTTTAAGGGAAGACAAAGAGTGTATAGACTTACGCTATTGTGATCGATGGTTATTCGAATATTAAGTCCTGTTGAATACGATTTGAGAAATCAATTTAGAATATAAAACTATCTAGAACTTGATTAGAGTTCCGAAGTTATAGTAATGTAGAAAGTGCAGCGTCATAAAAAGTGACCTACGAATGTTTCAGTCAGTCAGTCAGTAACAACGTAGAACTTCGTACGTACGTACATCAGTTCGAGTTGCCACACCACATTAGCACACAGATGCAGTAGTCGATTCAAATCCCGTAGTGGTAGAGGTAATAAGAGTATAAGCAGTAATCAGGAAAATTAGTGTTTGGAGATGTTATTTAAAGAGTATAATACAGTGAAATAAATTTGGGAAGAGAAAAAAAAGACAAGGAGGAATAAGGAGATCAAAATTTGAGAGAACACAAAGAGTGTATGCACCTACGCGATTGCCAACGATTTTGAGCCATGTCATTCAGGGTCTCTAACCATCGGTTGCTATCATCTCGCGGTCCCCAACCAGGTAGTCTACACCTACCAACATGGCTCAGTCCACTTGCCAGTGACTTCGAATGTTTCAACATACCGGTTGTCTTCTATATGACATACTTTAATTTATAAATATTGCGACCAGTATAAAATCTTTATGGAGAGTGAAGAATTTTCACGGCTTAAATCACACACTGACCTTAGACAGACCGCCACGGAAAACGAGAAAGCATTGAATAGCTGATTCGTCCTAGTGTAAGACTGTTCAGAAGTGAGCGATCGCAATTCCATCAGAGGTTGAACCCAGGACCCTTGGCTACGTCCAAACGCTTAATCTCCAGATCAGTAAGAAGGCATTCAGTGGTGTGGATGTCTAACTTTGATCGATCCGCCATACCGCGCGACTAATTTACATTGTCTACAGTGGATAACTGTCTCACACACAACATGGCCGAACTCCATTACTTGTCACGAAGAACTAAAGGATGTGGACTACTGAGAAGTCTCATACTAGGACGAGTCAGCTGTCTGGTGGCTCTTAGTTTTCACTGATGGTTTAAGCTAAGATCAGTCTGTAATTTAAACAATAAAAATATTCTAGAATTGGAATATTGTGATATTGTTGTATAAACCTCAGAAGATAAAATGCACGAATTAATTACAAAGGTGTAAGTGCTCAATGACAGGAATTCAGTTAACGAAAAGTATGTGACCAAAGCAATTAAAAAATAGTACGCCCGGAAACAACTCAAACTGGTAAAACTTTCAAAATGGAATCATTGGTTAGTAGGATTTAACTTAAAGAGGTGATCATTTCAATGAAAATTATAAAAAAAGATACTTTAAAAGCTTACCGAATAACTTTACGAAAACAATCCCAGCTATTTTTATACATAAGTTCACCCGTAGTTGATCCAGTAGCACGTTGATTTTGCATTCTTGTCTTAACAAGATCGATTGGATAGACGGCAGTAGCTCCGAATGCACCAGCAATTGAGCCTAAAGTGAACCGATAACATTGTTCAAGTATGGACATTAAAACACTTCTTCCACGAGGTACATTTACATTATTTCCAGAATTTCCCTAGTTATGTATAGAAGGTAATAAGACATATTTTATTCGGTGACTAGAAATATGGTAATATATTTCTACAACACGACTTTATTGTTAAATATACGATGTTATTTAGGCATAAACTCATCTATGTAAAACACTAGGTATAAGAAAGTTGGAGTACAAAATATTTTATTTAGAATAAAATGACAAATAAATCAACTAAAGTGTTAAAATCCATAAATAACCAAATCATTAGAATTAGGTTACAATCAATAGTGATGAGTTGAATTATTATAACTACTAGCTTGAGTAACAATTTAGGAAAGGATAATAATTAACGTTCATAAGATAATTTCGTCATTCATTCATTTATCAGGTACAATTTGTGCACTTGGTTTCGAGAAATACCTTAAGCATGAAGGCTAGTGATACTATCCGGTTACCCAAATTGAAGTGGACAGAGCTTGAGGTTCAAACTTGAGACATAGCGGTTGAAGGCTGAACACCTTAGGAATTGAGTCACCATTATCATAAAATATAACATTAAAAGAAGTTGGTTACCTATTGAATGTTTAAAATCATAAACCACTATTTACTGTCGTGAAGCGGCGTGAAAAGGTCAAATAAATCGGGAGAGGGGGGGGAATGTAGTGTCGTGAAACAATTAAAAGTTCTATTGCCGATGGTTTTACTAGTCAGTTTGTATTCACACATTCTTTTAGAGATTGATGACATCTAGCCTTTTGTTAATTTAAGTAATGTAAAGGAACTCAAATTGTCGACATAAAACGAAACTGACACTCTCAGGTTTGGTTTATTTAAATAGACAGAGTCCATTCAAGAGGAAACGAAATAAAGCAGTATAATGAAGGAAGTTTTTGAATGAAGTTCTAGCTTATATTGACAATATCACAGATTATAATTGGGACGGGATTCTATACAAAAAAAAACTCGGAGTTATTGTAGTTTAGAAAGAGGAACTAACCTAATGATCTTAAAAGACATCCTCTGTCAGTAATCGGTTTACTGACAGCTATAAATGACACATCACCACAAGAAACGAGGTGCAATGCAGGGAAAGACTTACCAAGCCTAATAACTGATGGCTTTCTACCTATAACTTAGGGAGAAATAATAATACGATGGCTACATGGATAAGGTAGAAAAAAAGCTTCGGCAAACATAGTAGTAGTGTACAGAAAATAAAGAAGCATTTTGAAAAATTATAATAAAAGGAAACTCATCTATACCGTCATTCTACATATTTGAAAGAATTTTGGAGCAAAGGTTAAATAGTGTACCGTTAGAACAAAAAAATATATACTGATTAGGTTACTCGAGGATCAAAATAAAACAACTAACAATGAACATACCTGAAGTCGAGCCTGCATATGGTGTGACATAGAATTTTCTTCCACGGGGGTAATAGCACATAAATCTTGATAAGTAACGCGTCTGAGAATTAGAAAAAAACGACAACGGAAGATACAGCTATTCATCGATACTAGCTAGTCATAGAGCATGTTTATTGTATTTTTATTAGGCTGTGCTTTTGACCTTTTAAGGTTGCAAAGTGAAAAATTTCTGCTATGCAGTGAATGTGGTAAAAAGTTTTGGAAAATAGATTTTATTCAATAGACTTTGTTTGTGTGCTTGATGCATTTATTTACAGAATTCGATGAACACTGAATAACGGAGTGAAGACGATAAAAATTAGATTGTAGTATACTAATTACAGATAGTTTATGTCCCGGTTTTTAAAGCAATTAACAGGAGGAATAAATAAGCACATATGGACATTCCATCTAAAGTTTTATCACGTTGATTCCGGTATTGGCTATAGGTAGTCAAGAATCGATTGGAACTAAAAAGCAATGTTATGCATGTTACATTTATAACAGAGGACATATTTATTTTTCAACATATCACTGGTCAAGTAGTTTAATAATTGCCAAATAATTCTTATTTTAATGGTTTATTAACTTAATACAGATCAGTGTGATAGATATTTTCAGTGACAGCGATCTAACAATGCTGAATGACAATCGTAAAATGTTTTTATATGTAAACAAAAATTTCTTGGTAAACCCGCATAAGATACACAAGTGAACAATCTTGTTTTTAATTTATATATGTGAAAAATATTGGGTCAACTGAAATTTTTTTGTAAATGATAAGCAAACAAGTTAATTACATGGCAGTGTTACGTAACTGACACAGTCTATTGATTATTATATCTTGTAATATATATATATATATATATATATATATATATATATATATATATATATACTGTGATGCCAGAGGTTTTCATCTATGTGACTGACTAGATGTTAAAATGTAATGTCGCTGGTAGCAAATTTTCGGAACGAACACAGGGACTAATCTGGCACTGAGAAGAAATAACATTTTAGATTACCGTTAGGATCAGACTTTCTTCGTACTGCACCCCCAAGAGTAAGTAAACACCTATCTATTGTTTGTAAATCACCTACTAGGTAGAATCGTCATTATCAATAATAATAAAATAATAATTATTATTATGTAATACCTTGTGAATAATCACTATAAATATGCAAGTAGTGAAAATAAACGGAAAAAATGAGGGGAAACAAGTAAATAGTGGGAAGAATTATGAAGATCGTTCATAAAGTTCCCTGTAGTCAAAAAAGAAAAAGATTATAAATTTTATCAAGCACTAGGGTTGTTGGTTCGAATCCCCACAGTCTATGCTTTGTGTAAAAGACAAGACTGAACCCTATAAAGTTGAAAGCCATATAACAAATCACTTTGAATTCTTTTGTCTTATCTATTATACGATCACTATCACCCGAGTGCGACAGAGGCATGCATTGATTTTGTTTGAATCTTGGTAAACCCACAAAGGGAGATACTTGCTGACCAATTTCACGAATCGCCTTGACCGATTTAACATTTTTCATACACGTAAGTATTAATGTCTTATAGAGAGTAAATTGAAGAAAAATATTGCTTGCCATTATGTCTTCTAATTTACAGGATGGGAATGTTCCATAATATACAAACTAGAGTAATTCTGAATTTGTATGATGAAGATTTTATTTATTTATATTGACTAATTTCACAGGATATAAGCCACACTAAGCTTAAAGGCCAATGATACTACCCGGTTGCCCAAACCGAGGTAAACAGGAAGGGACTCGAACCTGGGGCTTAGTGGCTGAAATTCGAATGTCTTAACCATTAATGTGAATTATACTTCCCTCCGAATATGATGTTACGCCGTAAAACCCACATATTTGAATGAGGATTAGAGTGAGTATTGAGATCTACTTATATTTATCTGTTTATTTAACAATAACATATCAAGACAGGATTTATAATGATTCGAATTCGGATATTTCCAATGAGAAAATGATTATAGAGATGACAAAATAAGTATTTTCACTTACCCATCTTTTCGAAGAAGTGAAATGAGCTGAAATAGAATACTCATTTCCATTGGCGTGATTTGAGAGAAATTTTGTGCTGCATTCAACATTTCCTCTAGAATTGACAAATTAATGGAGATCAAGAATAAAATGGAAAACAAGAGAATTTACTGTTATTTATTAAGTGAAATTACTTGAAAATTAGCTGTAACAGAACAAATAAACAGGCTATTTCAATAAAACATTTTGGAGAAAAATGTTTTAAGCGGTCTTGTTGCTAGAAAACGTTGTTGAAGGTCGTTTATCAACATTCGTAAATTTGAATGAAAGCTAATGAAAAACTATTGTTTAGAATCGATGACTACTAATAATATTTGTCATGAACATTGAAAATCACTAATTTAATTCTATTTCACCCTAATTTATCAAGAAGTGATTTACATCTTGATGACTCTATGATCAACTTTCATCAGTCCTGTTAAACACTCGCGGACGAATAACAGGAATTTTCAAAAGGTATCAGTTAATTATCTTATGTAAATGAATAACAGGGAATTATACTGTATGACTGCGATGCATTTCGACTGAATGACTCAATCAACAGTATGATCAACAACCTTGATTTGTAGTGGACCCCAAGAATCGAACAACTGAGATGAGAACGAAAACACCGCCGATAACGATAGAGTGGGAAAATATCAATAATAAATGTATTTTTATTAATTAGATATTAAGGAAAGTTTTTAAAGAATTAAATTAGAGTTTTTGATTCGTGTAATTCGAAAAGCTGAAAATGGTAACTTGCATAAAAAAATTTTCTCTATCGAATGTTTGACATTATGGCATCACTGGAAATAAACTGCTTCCAACAGATGTGAAGTGAAGTAGTGACCCTACTGACCAAGAAAATTAGTTCAGTAACCAGTTGGATTGGTGAGCATAACACTATGCAAGATTATTTTATATAACGAAGAAAACAGATTAAGAGCACGGTGGTACTAATAAGTGGTAAAATTGCAGGTTAGGAGATAATTAGCTTTAGATAAGATAATTCACTTGAAATATTTGTGAAATCATATCGATAGCATTTGTCTGGACATGATACATTGTTGAAGAAATAAAAAACATTAACCAAAACGAGGAATATCAGCTGATTTTTGTAACATGAAATTTGCAATCAAACTGATGTACATGATTTTTAATTCAAAGAAGTATTATTCAATTTTTTTTTCAATAATGAAACAGTGAGTCTTTATAAATCATGAGATATTTTGGATTGAGCGTCTGTCCAATGTAAAAGGCGTTTTCACAAGGTGAATTACAAATATTCATTAACCTAGTAGTAAACTTATTCTATTATGAGACTGTTCAAGTTTAATTTTTGTGTACATCACTTTGAAGAGATAGTCATAAAGTTTACTTGAGTAACTCGTTTCATTAAGCCTTATGACCTGTACACCTATCCAAACAACAAATCAAAAATGTAGTTTCAGCAACACAATGAAGTATCTACATAAGTAGAAAGATAAAAGTAGCGTTTCTTAGATGGTAACATGGAGATACTATGCTTGTTAATTCAGTCATGCAATCTCATATACCTATTTTGAACAATGAAACCGAATGTATTTTCATATTTGTCATATTTCTAATGAAAGTATAATTCGTTAGACATTTAAAACTTACAGAAACTAAACTTGTAGTCTCATAATCTGAGACAGGAAATGGATTATTAGTGATTTTTATGTTAAGTATGTATGCAGAATGAAAAACCGTTCACAGAATTTGAAAACGCTGTAAAATGAAGATTAGATTCCCAAGGTATTCTGAATATAATATTATGGCTAATATGCTGTGGATCTGAGTCTTTAAATTTTAGTTTACTCAATACCTTGACGGTTATATGAACCAAAATTACCAACTGTCGAATAGTAGATCAAATAAAAACGAACCTCCTTTTATTTTGGAGGTTGGAACACTTGTAAACTTTGGAGATGGAAGATATAACGTAAGCAAGTGATTACTTAGGATATCTATAAGATGTTAATGAAAATTAGATTTTCAAAGTTTATTTGACTTGTTGAGGGTGTGCTTTATCTAAATACAACTTATGAAAAAAGAAATCTATTGAAATGAATTTCCCTTATATTAAGTTATTGATTGTGAACATTGTTCGTCACCTTACAATATGTTTTTTACTATAATTTCTATTTAGTGACAAATACTTAGTTCATGAATTCTAATTATTGTAACTGATCTACAACTGACAGGCATTTTTGATTGATATACTGACGGTTCCATTACTAAGTCGATTTTTTCACTATAGTCAGCAGATCAGGGAAGAGGATTAAAGTGATCTCATTGACTGTATTGAAGTTGAAGTTTTGAAATCTATGTGTATGATGACTTCCAAAGGTGCAGCACAAAACCAGAGTGTTCTTAATAGGAATACAGAATGGCATTTCTTGATGTCGTAATGATAGTCAAATCATTAGGAATCTCATTGAAATCATGAACAGATCAATGTTAGACCAGCATTGAAAACATGTAAGCACTAGACGGCCGTTTCGTCCTAGTATTGGACCCGTCCGCAGTGCTTATATTAGGGCGAAACGAACGTCTAGTGCTTCCAGGTTTTCGATGGTGGCCTAACATTGATCAGTTCTTGATTTCTATGAAATTCAGCAGTCTCCACAACCTCAAACTGAAAACACCAGGAATGTATGTTCATGAGCTATGTTTTAGTTCAGCTACTATTACAATGGAATAATTTTGTAAGATAGTGAATCTTATAAGACGAATACTCACACCCATAAAGAATGTTTACAGAGAGTGTAGGAATAATTAACTGAGTTATTTATACGACCTTCACTTTGAGTTTTTAATTACTCAACTGGACAAACGTGATTCGGGTCACATGCGAATATTAATCCTGAAAACTCAACAGTATATGTAAGTGGTGAAATACCATGCTCTTGAGGACAGTCATAAGTTATATTATTCCTGTTTGATCATGGTAAACTTTTGAGTAAATGACTATCCAAGTAAGAGGAATATGGTTAACTATTTGAGAAATCCACAGAGAATGTAAGTTGGCTTACTAACACTTCGTTTTTTTTATATAAAAAGATATGAATCGATCAGTATTGAGTTTGACTTTTTGAGAGTAACTTTAAATTAATGATAAAATGTCTACTTGATTCATCGGACGTGGATTGGGATATTTCGAAGTATAATGCATATTTATAATTGATATTTCTATTTGGGTACACTCAATTAGTCTTAAACATTTAGACATGTAGAGCTCCTAGAATATTTTTTAACTGTTTACACAACAAAACAGTAGTGAGAGATTTTGGAAGTCCATTAATTTTCTTTAATAGTAGAATTACTATTTTAAACAAACAATATTGTCAGTTACATCATGATTCATGACAAAAAAATACGCTGTCAATTTCTTCATGAAAACGATAAAAAATTACTGATGATATTTATTATTTATACAACCAGTGATTAACAGCTAACTATACAATGTACATAAAAATACAAGTTATGAAGAGCAACATAATTAATATCTAGGAAACGACTACCTACTGGTAACTAACCTTTTGTCAATTCTACTTTGGCGTTCCCATTAGTTCGACTTAGATACACTTTTTTAACTAATTCCATATTAGTCAAGAGTGCAATGAAAGCCATATAATAAGCAAAGGTAATACGACCACCATTCATTTCGCCTTGTAAGGCAACCTAGTAAGCATAGAGAGAATGTTATACTGAGAAACATTTAATAAATAAGGGATGATTAGTAAATAATTTGGATTGTTAACCAGTATTATGATAAAAACAAACAGTAACTTAAGACTTCTAGATGAAGTTGATGGTAGGCATGATGTAGAATCAAGGGGATTTGCCAGAAGGTAAGTTGGACGTGTTAAGTTCCTAATTTGATATACAATTTGCAAATGTAGTTAAATAATAAGAAAAATGAAAAGTTTATTGTCTTAGAGTTTTAAGTCACTCTTTATCCAATTTCAATATGAGTGAAATAATTAAAAATGGAGAAAAAGTTAATCAGCTGTACAGGAAACACCATCCGATAGGGTATTTATGCTGATAACAATTAGCTCACTCGAGTCAATTTAAAAGAACTAATATCAATTTAACATTAAATGCCCGGTTACGGCTGAGTGAGGAGAGTCAGCTCTCTCTCTCTCTCTCGGAATGCTCTCACATGGCCACGTGTACATTGCTTTTGTCAAGGAAGTCCTACTCACTGCCTTCTCGCAGCATTAATGTTGTTTACGAAATTGAGAGGACGAAAAGCGAATGTCCGGCGATTTAACTAGGCCGGTGGAAACGGTGAGTCCACCTAAAGGAGTCGGAAAACCCTCATTCCAAACCAATGGTGCACATGGGCTCCAGTATCCTGAAGGAACAAATGGCGTATGAACCAATTGTTGGTCACCGGCTACCATGGGACTGCATCTCCTTACGTTGCTCCATTGCTTTGTGGATCAAACCTTTGGGTCGAAGACTGCAAGTGTGGCCCCCTAAGAAAACCATCCGCTTCGGTTTGAGCACCCGGGAACTATCCTAGCCCTCACACAAATCGAATGACTTATGTGGCGCATATCTATTTGGTGTCTCCTTGTACCGATGTTTATGTGTTTAAATAAATAAAACCATACGGTAACTTTTTATATAAACTTAGTTGCTTGACTACTAAATGTGGTAAAAGATGTTAAATGCACAGAAAACCATTAGCTTTCCGTTTATTTTGATAACTTCATTTTGAAAATTTGAACTTTTATCCTTTTTTGCCATCTCCCCGTCCATGGAGAATATATTTTATCTGCACTGTCCTTAAAGTAATTGTAATTGCTTGGTTAAATCAATTTTCTTTAGTTTATATCGAATAAATCTTCGGAAGTGGCTGGGGTTAGATGTTATATCCGAAAGAAGAATAAATGAATGGTAACTGCTAGGATATATTTATGAACTATCATTACATATATTTTTATTAGATAGTATATATATATATATATATATATATATATATATAATGTTGGTATTCCTCTTATTATAAGCTTTCATTTGAACTATCGGTTACTGTTATACAACTTACCATCCTTAGCTTATTCCCAATTTATTAGTTACAGTATCCAATAGCACAGCCACTTTTGGCGTGATCTTGTATAATGATTATTTTGCATTTTAAGTTGTGATGAGGTCTGGCCTGCTTGTATATAAACTACATATATCCGAAATATACAATTCATACAGTGGAAGGTGATTACGGTGTTCTTGACTGAGCGGGCCGGGTTAGGCAAAAAGCTACCACACAGAGTTGACTGAAGGCTGCTCGCGCTAATGGATGCATCACTGGTTTCGCACAGGGAAAAGGTCATATAAGTCGGTGTTCTGATTGGCGACTTTGTTGCGTGATATTTGACGACCCATAGGGTATAACGGAAGATAAAGGGGAATTGTGATATGTAGATATCATAATCGAAGCTAGGAATCAGTGGCATATCAATTAACAAGACAAATGCTAACCTAACAAGGATAGAAATTTAGGCTCGTCGCTGAGCAAGTTATTAATCTGATGCAATTCTTACAGGGTTGATGGAGTGACCATACAACACCACCTTAACTGAACCGGTATGTACGTTAGAAAGAGTGGGTTGAGTATGCAAAATGGACTTGTATTAAGTTAAATCAAGGTACCATCATTACAAAAACATCTGCATATAGCAGCTCACGTGCAACTGAGTTCCCATTTAATTCGGTTAAGATCTTTTATCAACTTAACGGACAGAGTCATCCATATCATAACAACTTATTGTACCTTTATTATTGTTGGGCTTGTATGAAATATGTATGCTTGAATATTGCTTACCGCCTACGCATATATTCATTCTGCTAGCTTTATTATTAGCTGCTTAATTGACTCGATGATCCATTCATTTCCCTATATATATACATGTACATTTAATCCTATATACACTTTCGACTCACTGACTCACTCATTCGCCTCTCTGCTTTGCGGTCCGAGTTATCTGCTAATAAAACTGTATTCGCTGCTTCTCTTTGCCTTCTGATTTCAAACACCATTGAGGATTATATGATAACGGTTACGAAGGTGATTAGTTAATGAAGCACAGCCACTACATGCATACAAAGTTAATTGATTTCAGATAAGAATGAAATCGTATATCCCGTTGTCGATGTCTTTATATACTGATATTACGTTTTAGTTTGAGCAACTCTAGTTTTCTTTCAACTTACTTTCACATCATCTAGATGTAAGCTACATAACAAAAACGTAATGGATTACTTTATGATCTCGTTAGTTTAATTTTCGTTCTAGTAATAAGTGCAGCAACTAGACCCAGTACATATTTATGCTAGATCATTTTGTTTACCTTACATTTAGTAAAGTTGGACCATTTAAGAAATAACAACAAACATAATCAAATTTACTGATCCAATGGACTTATATGACTACTTACTGTGAGTAGATTTTCTTTAATCAAAGGAGTCAACAAATGACTTTTCAACTGCAAAATAATACTTTTAAACTGATCAACTGTAATCGTTCCAGTTTTATCTTTATCCATTTGTTTAAAGGCTTGGATAGCATGCTCATTATTGAAGTCCTATATCATTCATGCACACACAGACACATGCAAATATATCGAAAGTAAAACAAAAGAGAGAATCGTTGTGATAAAAGATTTGTAACAAATTTAACGAAACAATAAAAATGTGAATAGCAAATGACAGTTGAATTGAGAATTTTCCATTATTTTCTAATACATATATGTATATATCCGAAAATATAGCTGAATCAAAGTGTTCATTTTTTCAAGTTACATAAAAGCTTACCGCACATGTTTTACAAAATAAGAGAACCGTCCACTGAATAATAACTTGTGTTTTTTAGATAATTGTTAATTTACTGTTTTGGAGCTATTCACTAGTTTAGACTGATCTGTGAAATAACCTTTGAAAATGTCTATTGGCGATAAGTAACAGTTGTATTCAGTGAATGGTCTTTGTCGAATTACAGTCAGGTTATACTATAAATTTGCTATACACTTATATACTGTTTGTGTTTATTAAGAGTTTGGTAAAAAATGATGAATAATTAGCACTGTATCCCCTACCAGACTTTTATAGAAATTGGGATAATATCCAGTCTTGTTCACAAGTGCTTTTGATAGACGGCAGAATTTGATTCACATGTAGCCGTAGTAGCAGGATCTAGATCATCCATGTAAAACCAATTATTAATTATCTTTAAGTCTTTTGCTTGTTTCAGGCTCAATCTTCAGTGGGTTATAAGTGTAAGACAATCCGTAGTCATTATCGTTTAGTACTTAGATACCGCAAATTCTTTTTCAATAAGCCAACGGATCGTATTAAGTGTAACATGAGGTGAAATTAAATCACTTAACAACTAACATTTTATAAGCACCGAATTACGTCAGGGTAAAATGACTATGTCTCACACAATTATTTAAAGAATTACATATATATATATATATATATATATATATATATATATATATATATATATATATATATATATATATATATATATATATATATATATTTAAAATTATATTTTACGTGAATTATTTGCGTAAATTCATCATAAGGAATTTTACGTGATCTATCCTTGGAAAAATGCAGGTTGATGAAATCACAATCGAAATTAAACGTAAAATCTTTATTCACCGATGTCATATCGAGTGTTTTCTTAAAATTGTCTAGGCGTAAAAAATAAACACAAAAGCATAAAATAAGTATTATCCAATGGAAATACACATAAATTCAAAACATGCTGTATTACTTATTAACATTCTAGGGAATTAATCAGACGAGTATGTTACGTCATAAGAATATGCTAGGTTTGAAGCGGTTACGAGTTCACTTAGACTGCGAACGGAACAAAGACTTGTGAGCTAAGATCAATAACTAGCTATTCTATTGCGTCCCCGCCCCGCTAACTAGAGAGAGAAACCGAAGTCCAAACGGGAAAGTATATTCCTAAAGCCAGAAGCATGAGCGAGCAATCACAACAGACACAATTCAAACGTATATATACAGCATAAATTTGTCCTTGGAAGGAGTTACAAAATAGCATACTAAAATAAACAATGGACCAATAGCGTTACCGATTCTCCTAAGTGGGAAATACGACATGAAGATGAAAAGAGCGCTTTCGGCGCGAAAGCAATAAAATTCAAATTTTCAAAGTAAAATTACAAAATTAAGGCATTTATTATGTGAGTTCTGGGGATCTAGCATCCCCAAGAGACTATTTGACTACATGCTTCCTATACCCAATGTCAACGTGGTATATGAGTGACAAAGAACGACTAAGAAGCTATATCGGCAAACCGAATTCAGATGTACACAACTAATTAGTATATATATATCCCTCAGATATTTGAGCCAAACCTTAATGGATTGTATAAGTAATTTTAATCAACGGCGTCCCCTTTTGGACATCTCACCTACAATCTGTGCACATATAGTGCGTACAAGCACACGATAGTCTGATTTACTCAGCATATCAGAGGCCAGTTAATTCTATTAATACGAGCATATTACAACACAACTACAAATACTAAGCCTTTAGACTTTGGTTGATTTCCAAACCATCAACAGGAAATACAATAAAAACAACACGACTTCGACGCATGTAGCTTAACATGGTGGTTACATTGTTTCTGTTTTTACTTATAAACTTCAATATGACCATTTTACATGGTCAATAACTGAACAAACGAGAAAAGATTACCACAAAGACTTGGTATAATTTTTTAAACAGAGTTGAAAATCTTATATAAGTTTATGATTATCCTGAGAACCTGTTATATCGGCATAATGTTTTAGTATTACATGAAGTGGTTGATTTGGAAAAGCACTAGCCAATTGGATCCTCATTAATAATCTTTTTTATATGTTGGTATGATGAAAGGCTTAACTAGTCAGCGTAGGAACCAATGTCTTCTGGTTTTCTCTATTAACACTTTAACAAACTGTGAAATAAATGAAGTCGATAATGAGTTGTGTCACTGATTGAATCGTTTATAAAACCAAACACAGTTGACAAACATGATGGTGCTAGTGAAATAAACGAAGAAAACATGTCTGTTATATCCGAACAAAGAATAAATGAACGGCAACTTCTGCGAATTATTTTTAGACTATTATATATATATATATATATATATATATATATATATATATATATCTTTTATCATAAATTTTCATTCGACCCACTAACGACCATTATACGGTCTACTTTTTCTAATTTATTTAAAATCTACTACTTACAGTCGACCCTGATAGCACCTACATTTGGCTTGATCCTGTATGATTGCTATTTTTTTAATGGTATGACATTTTTGTACTGTATATATACTCATGAGTTATGTACTTGTTCGCTCGTGCTTTCGACTGCTTGTGGAATATGCATTTCCTTCGACTGAATCTAGTCTTCTCCCCATAGTTATCAGGGCTGGGAACACAATGGACTAGCTTAGCTTGTCCTGTTGTAGTGTTCCTGACTCTTGTTCCGTTCTCCAGGTTTAGGTGATATCGTGATCTCTTTAGACGTAGCATTAAGATAGTTGGTTTATAAGATGACACTGTTGAATAAAATATAGTTATGTTGGGATCAGTTTCTTCTAGCACTTCACAACACCTAGAATTACGTCCAAGGGATTGTGCATCTCAGACGTCATCAAATATAACTTAGAATATAAGAACATAGAATATACTGTGATTGTCAGTGAAAGTAAACTGGAGTAAATTAGGACTATTGTTTGTGCGGTTTTGTTCAGAGATAGAATTTACTAATCATAAGGAATATTAGTCATGGTTTGTAATTGCCCCTTGTTGATATTTAATGACTGTAATTAACCAGTCACTGTTGCTATATATGTGCATCCTTGGGGCATCGCATTGATATGGAATTTTGCATAAGTTTTAGTATAATTGGTATGTAGTTAAAAATGCAATCTAGAACGCGTGCTTCGTCGTATTTAGAAATTCGTCAGCTGGATATGTCTGGACCGCAGTATTGGTGTTCATGTTGGGACTCGAATCCACTATATTTTGCTGGAAACACTCAACGCGTTCAGATAGTCAATAACTTGTTTAATCGATGTGAAGATCATTGTCATGATGAAGATATGAACACTTAATTTCACTTACCAAATGATATGACCCCGAGGCCGTCTCGATTGAACAGTTCAAATGTCCACGAATATAAAGAGTCGCATGTGCACAGAAGAGCTTCAAACGCAAGAAATTCTTCGAAAGAAATCAATCTAAAATAAAAGAAAATATTCAATCCAATTATCTCACCAATACAACTCTTGTACGAAATTATTAATAAGAGATTACAAGACAGTTTTTTGAGGTAAAGTTATTCAATTCGTGATATTTTGGTAACCAATCAACTTAATATAGGATTATTAATAAGGAACTTAGCTTAGAAGTCACAGTGAAAAGTCAACTCATAAAATCTGAACACTATGGACTAGGGTAAGATATCAGTAACTATTGGGCAGAAAATTAGCATAGAGTATTCCTATATGAAGGTTAGTGCTGCCACTTATATTATCTGAGACTTTTCAGGTCTCAGTGTGGAACCAAAATCAACACTAATTAGTAGGTGGCTGTTCATGAATACTCAAAACAGTCGACTGTCATATGATACACTCTGCCTACAAGCTAATTTCCTCCAATCGCATATGACATTTTATAGCGCTTACTTTGTGTTCACATTCTGAATATAAATATGTTATTCTATAACATGAAAAGCCTACTTATTCGGTAAGGTTTTCCCAATAATTTCTAGAGATTCGGGCGATTAAGTCGATAATACGATCTCATTAGCAGCCATCACTCGCCTACATCGTATCACCGTGTTTATCTATTGATTGGTCTTCTGCTCATTAATTCTATAAATCTAGATTTGACTCATTACTGTTATGACTGGGTGAAAGGTCAAAATTAAATTGATTTACTCATTATGATTTTTATTAAACACTAATTCCGTTTAATCGTTTATAAATCTCCATAACAAAGATGTAACTACCTTCTTTATCGGTTACATGAATAAGTAACTGATTACTTAAAACAAGCTTTTATGTCAAAGTTTTAAATCACCGTGCATTGATGGGCATGTGATACGCCTGTCTAGATCGTTAGTTCCTACCCAGTCAGTGGAATGTTCAACATAAGTGTATAGGGTGATATACCATAAGAGTATTATGGTGACGTACAAATGACAGACATTTGGGAAATGAAGACATCAGAACAAATTCGTCTCAGTCCAGGTCCCCACACCTCACTGAAAAAGATTGAACAATCGGATAAGTCAGAAACCAGTTAGATAGATAAAACAAAAGAACAGAAAGGAACAGACAGATGGAAAATCTACGGTAACAGTATTTAAGATCTACTAGAAGATAATGAATGAACCGGCTATAATCAATTTAGGACCTGAAATAAGTGTCCATAGACCCAAGTCGACACTGCATTAATATATCGAAATGAAACTAACACAATGAATATCAAATGAGTAAAAATAACACAAAAACCAAAGCGAATATGAAGAATATGGTTCGAAAGGAATGTAGGAATTCTCTGAATAAAATATATGAGATCCAATCAGTACTAAGGACATAGATGAAGGTGAAGAATGGTTGCATCTGTATAGCTCTATTCCAGTAAATGTAAGCGAGGTTTCACCTAAACACTCCACAAATCATTGCTTCCTTTGTGTGGTGTAGGAATATATAAAATAACGCTTGTAAACATATCGATAATCGAATCCTTGGGAGATATGAATATCTTCCACATTCACATTATCATACTTCACTCCTACTGAAAATCCATAATACTGCTTACTGTCCAAATATCGACAATTGGATCGGAATTCAAGTTGATGATCTATTGGGTACTGTTAAGTAACTGAACCAATAAAGTGCACCTCCACAGGCATAGCAAATGCAGCTACCTACCAAATACATAAATATCTTATAAGAAATTTCATCTAAATTTGGAAGAACGGTTTCACATTAAGGAGGAAATTATATTTGCGAAAATCTCAGTGATTGGATTTCAAGTAAATCCAGTGTTTCTCTCGGCAGTCTGGCCCGAGTCATTTCAAGGGAACATAGTTAAACATGAAAATTATTGATTATAAATAGGTACATGGTTCTCCAGTCAACTGTGTACTAAACAGGTCATCTAATTATGTTAACTATGTTGAAAGTAAGAATTTTTTGTAGTGCGCATGATATCTGGTGTGTAGAAAAGTGTTTTCACACACATAAATATTTATTTGGATTTTTATGGTTTTATTGTGATTTTATTTTTCCTTACACATATATTTATTATTGAGGTGAAAATAGATGCTCAAATTAAAAAAACACAATCACAATAACCTTGATTACCCATCTTTTGTGGTATCGGCAGCACTAGCAATACAATTAACTGATGATACGTTGTAATTTTCTTCATTGAATAAACGTAGATATTTGACAGCGAAATCTTTCGAAGTCATATACAGTTGACCATTTTTGCTAACACTGGCATACTATAGGTAGGAATAATAATAAACGTAAATGGGTAAATATCGTAGTTTTTAACACACAACTTAGTTCAGTGTAACTCATCTGATTTAGTTTACTGTATTCTATCATTAGAAAACAAAATGGTGTCAACTAGAGGACTGATCAGTTCTAATTGTTTGGTGATGGCACACTTGAAAAGGTACAATAAGTTTGAGCTTGTGTGTATTGATAAATTTAGATGACACAAAGATTGTTACTATGTAAATTAGAACAACATATATTAGAGGCAGGAAATGCCGTTTACATTCAACATCACCACACTTCGACTCAGTGGCCCCCTTATATCAATATAGTTATAAGACCTGAAGTTTATGGGTTCCTTTTAGTTGAACTGTCGGTGAATATTACTAAGGAGTCCTAAATCAGAATGAAACAGCCTTTTAGGGCTTCCTGAATTGCACTACTTGTAAAGCTATCAGTATACGATGAAGATTACATTAACGTAAAGTTTTCGATTAGTTACTCCGAAAGTTTTACTCTGATCAGTAACAAATATCATATTGTCTATTCTCTATTGGCAATTTAGTTCTACTGACCAGGTTGTGATGTAGATGTTAAACGAAGTGATTGGGTAACAGGGTGTACTTTGTTTCGTGTTAAGCGGCTGAAGATCGACAGGAAACACTGGATCAACTAGCCATGAAGGGAGATACTCAAGTACCCACTGTTTGGCGGGAGATAATTCAGGAGGACTAAGTGATTCTTACGAATAGCTAAGATCTCTAATTCCTCATTAGTCTTTTCAGATAGCGATCGGTACATGAGTCAATATTATTCAGTTAACTCTACTCGACCAACATAAGGAGTTAGTATCATTCACTATATAGGTGATTAGGAAACATATGACTAACTCTCGTAGACCGGCCGCTTGCCTGTCAATATCGCCCGACCATAGCTACTACCTTGACGCAGTGGTCGGGGTTTATTTATTTATTTGAACACATATATATTGGTACAGGAGTGCTATATTGACTGGAACATATGTTCCTGTAGGTTCTACCATGCCAGGGCAAACGATTCGAGTACGCGTGAAAAAGGGTGATCCACTTGACTTAGAATATGCCGATGACATAATTTTATTTAGTGACGACGCTGACAAAATGCAGAGTTTTCTGAGCAATCTAAGCAACAATGCAAGCACGTTCAGGATGCGATTCTCCCCCCCCCCGAAATTCAAAATGATGTATCAGGATTGGGTTGCATCGACACCCGAACTAATGATAGGGAGTGAAGTAGTCGGGCGTGTCGACCGCCTCACTTATCTTGGAAGTCTCATCAGCCCTTGTGGTCTGGTGTGTGACGAAATCTCAGCACGGATACAGGGGGCTCGACTAGCTTTTGCCAACATATGTCGTTTATGGCGTAAGCGACATACCCGTCTGCCATCTAAAGGACGGGTTTACTGCGCAGCAGTTCGCTCCGTCCTACTTTATGTCTGTGAAACATGGCCGGTAAGAGTAGGGGATATTCGTAGGTTACTAGTATTCGATCACAGATGTTTTCGAAACATCGCTCGTATATCCTGGGACCACCGGATAAGCAAAGTAGTTGTTGGGAAACGGGTTCTAGGTAGTAGAATTTATCCTTAATCGATTCTGGGCTGTAATCTGCCGAAACGCAGGTAGAAATGACGAAAAGATATTATTTCTCACAATTATTTTTTTATCACTTTGATGTTTCCTAATCTAGCAGCACAATCGATTTTTAACGGGGATCCAATGTAGGAGTAGATTGGAAGAAAACTATGGGCGGCCAGATCAAAATATGGCACAAGTCTATGAAGTCACTGACAAGTGAACTGAGCCATGTTGATAGGTGTAGACTACTTGGTGACGGTTCACTTTTTAAGAATGACCATCATAATATATTAAAGGGTTTGACTGAGAAACTGCCCAGGGCATCGGAACAGTGTAGTCCTTAGACTAATATAGATAGTTGATTACTCTAAACTGTAACTATAACCCAGTAACACTAAACCCTGTTTATTGCAGGGTAAACATACCGTAAACTGGTTTACGGTATTGTAAGCAGTAACTAAAAAACATGACTAATAAATGCAGAAAATATCTGTAGTCTACTTGTGTAGAATTACAAGTGTTCTTGTAGTGTTGTTTGTCTACAATAGAACCACTGAATGCGTAATGTAAGCACGGAGCTGTAGTAAAAGCGTCTGAGGCCATTAATCTGGGTCAGTTGGATTAGCTGGGGTATGTGTTATACAAGTCAAACCAATGTCAATCCTGTACAATGTTAAAAATCATTTATTAATGAAAAAAGTCAGCTAAATAAAACGAAAAAGTAACATTGTTCTAATGAAAAAACGAGTACATGATCAGAGTATCAAGTACAATAAACAGCGTTAACTGACCTTATTGAAAACCGACCGTAGGTCTTCCGTATTTGATTTCAAATGTACTGCCTAGAAAGAATAACACATAATTGGTAATTTAGTCGGCAAACGGTCAAGTCATAGCAAAACCAACGTGGTGTGTATAGATTCACAAATTATGCCTTTTGATATACCTATTCCGTTAGGAATAAACTATTGGTTGGTAAGCTTTCTCAAACTAAATTGCTGCGATGTTGG